ATGTCTAGAACTATGTCAGACCTTAACTCATTTGAAGCTCATCTGCAAATACCCGATATTTCACTGAAACACGCACTCTTGTTCGACCAGATAAAGCCTGGAACCTTGAAGAGTCACGGTGCACATCTGATACTTAAACCATTTTAAACGCCAAAATTTTGGGAGTTGTACACTGTGCCTTAAGCACTTCGGGACAACGTCGAAAAGGAGTGCAAGGAGAAGGTACAATTGAACTCGCTCAGTACTCACACTGGGCAACACCCACCGTGCCAAAGTGACGGGACTGTGAGAATCTGTGGAGACTACGAATTACGCTCAATCAGGTCCTACGGCTTGACCGACTCCCGCTGCCAATAATTCACTATATTTACGCGTCACCCTCTGGTTATGTTGTTTTTCCATGCGTGCCAGCGGATTGGACTCGGCGAAGAATCGCGGGCCTACACGACTAAAAGCACTCACATCAGATTATTCTGCTACACACTTATGCCGTTCAGAATAAGCTCTGCAACTGCCATATTTTAAAGAAATATTGATTCACTTGTGAAAAAGTATCAAATACGTGCGCTTATCTAGATGACGTCCTAATTACAGGACCAATCACTGCTGAACATGGGTCATCATCACTGCACATCATGCTTCAAGACGGAGGTCATGGTTGGAGTGGGAACATAAGCGGGATGGAGAGGGAAAAAGAAACTCACTACACAGACGCAATTGAAGTGGGCTCTCCGCCATGTCAACTAATATATCCAACCAGACGCGTTCATTGTCCTCAACCCGGCAGTCGGGATACACCAACCGACGACAAGTTCCATGTGAGGACTTTCATTCCTCTTGACCAATTCATCGCTTAGCCTCCTCTCCTTCCATCCACACCCCCGGCGCGCAAACAATACACGTCGCGGGAGTCAGTGGGCTGGCATGCACGACATGTGGCCCAGTCATCAGAGCCTGATACGTGAAATAACTGTTATGGGCGGTTCACTCGCTCTTCTTGCACACATACAAGACGTCTAACACGCTCCTTGCTCATGCGGTGCTCTCACCAGACGTGGGCTAACTTACGAAGGCAGCGATAGTCGAACGTAACTAGCCTCTTTATGTCGGTCGACTTGATGGGCCAGGTTTCGCAACCACATAAGAGAGTTGGACGGACGACTGCATGGCCTTTCATGACGAGTGTGGTGTCGCACCGACGCCACAGGTGGCAGAGATTGTCAAAAGCACCTTGAACTTTTGCTTTGCTGTTTGTGACCTAATCTTCCATTCCACTGGCGCTGATCTCGCTGCTTAGGTACTTAAATTTCCGAACGACTTCTAGCTAATCACCACCAAAGATCAGCGCTGGAGTGGGCCCCTGCCAATCTTGGGGAACTGCTGGATATCTGCACACTCTAGATGTATTTTTCAAAACGCTACTAGATTCTAGTCTAATGCCGAAAACGGTATGCGTTTCTTGTCTAAAGTGTGCATTAACTTGGGTATAAACTGTCACTCGATGGGTTGTATCCATTAGCATAGAAAACGAAGGCACTACTTTAAGCCCCAGCTCCTAAAATTGGATGAACTACGATGCAGTTTAGGAGCAGTCACACTTCTCTCGCTTCATACCATCGGCATCAACCAATTTGCATCGCCATCACCATCTTTTGCGCAATGTTCACGAGAACGTTTTCAACGTAATAAAGTGCCTTTTGACATCAGCTAATATCCTGGTACATTATACTCCACGAAAACCGATTGTCATTTCTTGTAATGCCTCCCCTTACACCCTCAGAGCTGTTTTCCCTCAAAAACTACTTGATGACTCTCAGCGACGCTTCACGGACTTTAATCGCAGCCGAAAGGAACTACTCTCATATCGATCGAGAGGCAACTGCTATTTTTTCGGTACTAACTGATTCCACCAGTACTTGCTTGACCAAAATTTCGTGATTCACACAGCCTCTTATGTACGTCTTTGGGCATGAGAAAGGAATTCGACTAATGTCGCCGCTTAGAATGATCTCCTGGTCCCTCGTTCTATCTACATACCAAATTCAGTACATCCTCGATCAACAAAATATCACCGCCAATGTTCTTAATCGACTTCTCCTGCCGGAAGTCTGCTTGGCGGCATTTAGTCCACAAGCATTTGCAAATCTAATTTAGCTTCTCAAAAAGACCCCGGTCGCGTTCACCCATACGTTAGGAGGTCGATAGAGATCAGTTAGTAGCGCCTCTAAAGCGTTGCGTACAGGTTGGATGACCCGAAAACACGCCTTCAGAACTTACGCCTTTTCACAATAGGAAGCGTTAGTTCAGTCTGCAGAACGGATGTCTGCTCTGCGGCGCATGGGTTGTGGTCCCCAAAAGATTGCCATGAGCAGTTCTGGAAGAGCTTCACGATGCGCACCTAGGAGTTGCTAAAATGTAGTCACTTGCCCATCTCTATACGTAGCGACCTGAATTGCATGGTGCCATTGCGGCAAAAGTTGGATATTGCAAGTTATGTCACGAATCTCGAAACGCTGCCCCCGGGTATCGATGCAACTTTATGAATGGCCAGAAATCCCGTAGTAAGGTGTCCACATGGACTTTTTCGGTTTATTTGAGCATCACATAATCCTGTTGGCCGTTGATGCTCATTCTAAGTGGATTGACGCCTACTTTCTTGTCACACCGGCATCAGTAGCATAATACTCAAACTGCGCACTGCATTCGCTACCTTTGAACTTCGTGAAACACTATTGTTGGACAACGGATCTGTTTTTACGAACGCCGTTTTCCACTTTCCTCACTTCAAATGAAATTAGACACAGAACTCTTGCTCCTGATCATCCATCTGCAAACGGCTTGGTTGGAAGGATCTTGCAGACAGTGAAAATTTCCTTGCTTAGACAAACGTGTGCGTCTGGATCGTGCTCATTTCGATCACCGAAATATAGTGAACGATACCACCAGAAGAAGTCATGCGGTTTTGTATAGACTTATGTTGTGACCGCTCGCAGCTTGCCATTGCGTTGATTTAACTTCCGAGGCGTTGTAGTCGTATTCAAATCACCGGACAACTCCTGCACATCTGCCATTATGGTCTTCAACGCAGGCAGAACATTTCTAAGACAACTGCTTTATCTGACAACCAGATGCCTAAATGAAATCCGTCTTCACGCTAGTCGGCTGGGTTGGAAGTTGCAAACCCTTGTGATGCAAACATACTTCGGGAGAAATTAAAACCCAAGGAAAAGCTGTGAAAGTAGTCCACAACAAAACCTATTTGTATTCTAAAACTCATAAGTTATAACTTCTTCATCGTTTCCTAGTTTATCCCAGAATATCGAGTTCTTTTGGAGCTATTATTCGGCCGTCTTTACGTACGCGATTAGACTAACTGCATGGTACTCTGGAATTAAAGTCCTCGATCATCAGGAACGTGCGAAGAAACACTGGTGGTCGCACTAAAGACAGGCTCCTAACCGACTCAGATCCAATCTACATACGTTTGCCTACCGAACCCTGATGACAGCCAGCTGTTGTTAAGATAGCCAATGGATAGACCATGCAGTCAAAGACTGCGGACAACAAATTAGTGCGACGTCACCTGGATCATGTGCGACAAAGATCGGCGAATTCCGAGTCAATCTGTGAACCAATCCCCCTTCCATCTCCAGTGTTGGACGACATACATTTGTGACTCTTCACCGAAGCCTGAATCTCCGCTACGCAAGCTAATCGACGGCCGCTGACCGGTCGACTGCTTTCAGACTGGATAGGTGAAGCCACAGCGAGAAGAAGTGATGTATCCTCAGCTGGTCACCTATGCGTTACCTCGGCCCACTGCGCAGCACATGCGTGCGTGTGATCCGTTCCTTATCTTCACTGCACTCATGAACCCATGCTTTCACCCTCTAAACAAAACCCGACTAAGAACCCAGCGTACACGACTGTTTGCCTACCCACCAAACGTTTGTACACGTGCTTGACTAATTGGTCTTACGATATACTTCCATTACCACATACTCGTTTCTGATTTAACTCTACCGTAACAGGCGGTAACCTGCATAGCAGTAAGACATGAGTCCCGCTATATTGAAGTTAGCTTGCAATTTGTGACGGGCTGCCGCATGCCCCCCCCCCTCGTGGCTTTTCAGCTCATGCCAATAGTGGTCATGGCTTCTGTTCTCGATAGGGTCCTTGGATGCGCACCACTGACGAGCCCCAATAGTGCGAAACAGCCGTAGTAAGGCTTGTGAGCTGATGTCATGAATTCATTAAGCTTCCAAGGATAATGCGCTTGCAAACGTTGAACGCTCCTGGCTTGTAACTAGTGCCGTCCAACAAGTTGAACATCCTGCTGCTGTCATTGGCTCATGGGACTGTCTTCAAATATCATTGACAATGTGCTAGTTGGAACCTCGGCCAAAATGCTTCAAAATTTAAGTCTCATGACTCACAACTGGATGTCAAAGCGCAGGTTTGTGCCCATTATAACCGTATGAAGCACCAGTGTTGCCATAACTCGCGGTTTTACTTTGGAATGACTGTCTCATTCTGATTGAACTAATGCACGAATATCCATTCAGCACAGTCTAGTTTTCTGTTCTGCTCACTGTTCCATTTAACTCCATCGTTTGCCCAATTTCAACCATACTATTAGTCTCCTCACTCTGCATGCGGTTTTTGTATATAACTATTCCATTATCATACTTTGTGGAAGGTAACGGCGAATAACTCGATGACAGTCAAATGTTGTGATTATTTTGACATTTTCGTACCCTTTCGGTTCCTGGGATTTGATTAGTTATACATCAGCACGATCAAGTCCTCAACCTTGTCACTCCATCGTCAGGCAGCTTTTTAAAGCTTCAAGTGAAAATTAAAAAGAATTGAACTATTTTCGGGACTTTAAATGCCTTTGCAATTCCCGCATATGCCATCCTTCTTTGCCATCACTTTTTGTCTATACCCAGGTTTTAATGTTTTGTTGGCGCTACATTGTGCTATATTGTTGGTTTTAGATGTTCGCCAGTCGTTGTCAGAGGCGGAACAAACATGGTTTAAAGAATACTGCGGCACTCTGACAAATTACATGCAGGCTAGTACAAGCGACCGAGGCGGAGCCGGAGGATTGGATTTAACCCAATCACTCATGCCCCCGAAATCCTTATTCATGGAGGTGCGCTGCCTGTTCGATTTTGGCGAATACGAAACCGAGGATGGTAGTGTGCTGCAAATCACCAAGGACAGTCATCATTTAATGTCCCGTCGCGACTGCGAGTTATTAATACGCCAGGGTGTTGTAGAACACATAACACATTGACACAGCTTTTGACCTCTTCTTGTACATATGTGTTGAATCCCAGCAATTGATTGTATCGCTAATTGGGGTGGATTGCGTATATGAATTTTTATAGGACAAGATTCACTGATGTAATCACACTCCTTTCTTCCTATCTCGCGCCTTGGCTGTTTCGGCTTTTTTTCTCACAGTCTGCCGACCTGATAATTGGAATACGTTCTGAGCTTACTATGACCCATTGTTACATGACTGGGAGTTAAAATCATCTGTTTTGCTTAGTACTTCCAGCTAGCTATTCGCCAATAACACCTGTGCACTTTGAAAACTTCGGCCGACTTCGCACACACCAACAGTTTCTATGGAATGCGAAACAGTGCCTTGTAAGACAAATTTTGTTCGATTAAGCTTCGACTGCCGGAGTTCACTTGTCGGTTTTTGATCCATGATCTGCAATTGATCCTGTGATTCCGATTCGCATCACAACAATAGTACGCTTTGGCAAAGAACAGTATGAATGTCAAGGTGTGATAGTCGTTGATAATTGGAACAGTTCAGATATGTAGATTTGTGGGACTGTCCGTGATCACGCTATCGGTAATGTGTCGCTCAGTGGTTCAAGTACGCAACCACAATCTCATGGGTTCAAGCCACCTGCGCATAATTGCCGCAACGTAACGCTGACAACGCGCGATCGTTTCCGAAGCACTTGAAGTTTTACTCGGTCTCACGCAATAGGGACCGTGCAGAATGGAGTTTGATTTGCGGAGCAGCGGCGGACGATACAAAGAGCGGTTTTACGCTCTAAATACCATGTCGTCTTGTAGCTGATAGATTTTCATCAAAGTTTATCGCTTGTTTGGTCTTTGAAGAGCCAATGGAAAGTGCAGTATGATTGGCTCTAACCCATTTCACTTAACTAGGGGACCCTCTTCAGTAGTTATCTCAAACAGGGAAGTAACATCCAGACAACTCCGGTCGATATGATCTGAACCCACAAAAGTACACTTCTGGTTAACAATCCCAACGCATGTGTTGTCCAATATGCCCAAAGGGTACAAACCAATATCACAAAATTCATTGCGGTTAAATGCCAGGAGTTGATACTTATGGGATATTTCATTTACACTACATGCCTAGACCAACTTCCCATCGCGCCATGGCAGGCTTTCGGTGTAGAGGCTAAAGGTGGTGTCTCATCTTACGCTCTTCATTTTCTACCAATGAGCCAACGGTAGTTTGCCTCCTGGTCTAGCACTCACTAGTTTCACGAACTTGCGCATACCAAACAGGTTTTAGGGCAAACGACACTGGGGTAATTGGCGGTGGGCCAACCGATTGTGGTTTTGTCGCTTACAACTGGAGGAGGGATGTTTGAGATATTCAAAATCTGCTGGAATGAAGAAAGATGATATCACAATATTTAATATTGCAAGCAAAATGAGGTATTTCTCGAACTTAAGATTAGTTTTTAGATCAAGTCTTTAAAATTTGTACTCTGTTGGACCAAATGACGAGCGAATTTCGCTCTAGTCACGCATTTTGTCCCTTGTAGGTTAGTGGTCTCAACCACAGACTGGCAACATTCGAGTTACAGATTTGATCCTCACAGAGAACAGATGGAATGCGCACTGCTGACGATTTCCGCTCACCTGGAGACCGCAAATTCCATACTTGTAGGTTTGCTGGAAACCCACACACGCTTGCCGCCCTTAGTTGAGTGCTTATACCTCTGCTGTCGGATTGTATGCACTCCGTTGTGTAAAGGCACTATCGGTCGTACAAAAGCACATGAGCTAGTTCGGATCAAAAAATTGTTGATGGATGCCAAATACGACGAAACAGATACTCGAGACCCCAATAAGTACGTAGCGAACCTGACAAATGTGGAGCTTTTGGTTCTCTACAGTTGGAAGCACTATTGTTCGCGCCGGATTACCGTGCCTTCCAGACAACTTAACTGGTTGTTTATTGAAGCTCAGTTCGAGAACCTCTTTGATCCGATGAATCAGCTTCAACCATCTAGTACGAATAAGTTTATATGGTTTAGAAACAACCTAATGGACATTGCATATGAAGTCAAAGCTACGCCGATAGAAGAAAAGCACGCGTTGACGTATTGGTATCTGCGGGCGTTACGCGATATGAGTGCTAAAAATATGCTTGTAATGAAGCCTGATAAGGTATCCGGAATGGTTGTTATGAATAAACAGGAATACATCAAGCTGACTGTTCTACTTAGTGATCGAAATGCATTGAAACGACTTGAGAAGGCGCACGAGGTGACTGTGTTTGAGTCTCGCATGCTTCGCCATCTAGAACTACTATTACAGTACCCTGTAATCGACAACGTGATTTACGACAGTTTAAAGCCGAGTGGCTCAACTTCATCGCAGCTGTATGGGCCACCAAAAACACAAGAGCGGAGTGCCTCTCAGACCGATCCTCTCAATGCTAAACGCGCTACAACATAAACTAGCGCACTGGTTGGTGGAAGCGCTGTCCCCGTTAAGAGAACTATTTACCCCTACGGTCTCACTCCTTTGAACTGATAGATCTCTGGACATGTCCGATAAGTTCATATGTTCCTTGAATGTGGAGTCGTTGTTTACTAACGTCCCGCTGCACCAAACTGAATTTGCAGAATGTTCCGGATGTTCACTACTCATACCGGTTAAAGTATTAAAAGGATCGTTGCTACTCTGTACGGAAAATGTCGAGTTTCACTTCCGAGGCACACCGTATCATCACATGGGGTAGTTATGGTCAGTCCGCTGGGCCCTATACTAGCATATTTCCTTGTGCTGACGGTAGAACGAAACATATCTGCAGAAATATCTCGTACCATTCTCTAAACGATATGTGGATGACATCCTAGCGTTTTGTTCGTCTAAACAACAGATCACACACTTGCTGATGCTTCTACATACTACGCATGCCAACATCACAGTCTTTTGGGAGGCTGAGCGGTAGAACTGCCTTCCTTATTTGGATGTCCTAATCGGCCGCAGAGAAAACGAACAGGTTAGAAAGGCCGTCTACAGAATTGCAATGTGGTCCGACCAATACTTGCACTTTACCAGCTTCACACCAGTGCGGCACAAGCGGACGCTGGTGAAGACCTTATTTAGTCTTGCCAGACGATTATGTTCGACCGATCGTCTGGCCGACGAACTGGAACTGGTTACTAGCACAATAATTGCAAATGGCTAACCTCGTAGATTCATCGAGACGCGTAGTCAAATCAGCCGAACTAGAGAACCGGTGCTCACCGTGAGTAACAAGGACATTTCATATGTAACTGCGGAGCTAGTTACATAGAGAGAACGTTGGGTGCTTGGATGAAGGAGCACGTTCCAAAGTGGCTCCAACACGAGACGGCTCAACATGCATGCCCAACTCAGACTATGCATTTACCCAGGCCGCCGGCGGGCATTTATTGATCTCAGGTCACCGGATCAAGATCGGCAAGTCGTTCAACCTTCTGCTGCGACATGCCAATTCCCGTCTCCTCCGCTTCGCTGAGGCTGTTGCGATAAACCGGAGCTTTGTGTTCAAAAGCAACTATCGCCAGCCTCTGGTTGACTTGAACCTAAAGACGTGATTCCCGGTTTTTCCTTTCGTTTGTTTGCACGTTTGCATCAATTGACAGTTGTGTTACATTTCCAGTTATCATTTCCGGTACTGAAGAGACGATATGAAATACATGCATCTGCCGACCTTCGTCTTCTCACTGTGTTTTTCAAATTGTTGTGTGGAACTAACTGCTTTGGATTCCCGAAAGGATGGTGCGACAGTACAGTGCGATTATGGGCCTCCGGTTGGTTCTATTATGGCTGTTTTAACAAGGTTCTTTCTTCCTGGATTTCTCTGTGCTTCTGGATTATTTCATCAGAAGGTACAGTATCATTCTTTTTCACTTCTGATTATGAATTTTTCGACCATACGTACTCATGTTATCTCTGTTTAATCTCGGAGATCTAACAGTCGTTTTGTGCTTCACAATTGGTCACCATCTTTGTCTCGGATTATTTATAATGCCGGAAAATCATTTTGCCGTGCCTGTTTCAAGGCTGTTGGAAGTCAAGCACATGAAATCACATGTCACCGTAAATTCTACATATCATGCACTGGATTATCAATGGCGCCATTTCGGTGTCTCCTTGAAATCCAACATCATTTTGTCCAAATTTTGTGTAAGAACTGCAAAAAGTAGATACAACTGAAGAAAGTGGAAAAGAATCTGTTGGGTGGAGCCTGGGATACTAGTCTGTAATCAATGACACGTAAGAGACGTGTCAAATATGGGACCGGATAGAAGTTGGAGGCGACTGAACCCAACGTATATTGTGCAGGCTACAAAAATTGGGAACGAATCAACCAGAGCGTGAAAGGTGCAACAAGGTACTCACCAAAACGATTTGTGTCAACGGATGTGCAGTCAGTAAAACAAGTGGACGTTTTGAAGGTTAAAACAACCGTAGAATCCAAGGTGGTAAAATACTGAAAGAGCGTGTTTTCCGGTACACTACAAGGGCCTCCCTCTAGAAGGCTGTAGGACGGAAGCCTACGATGGAGCTGTTGGTGAGCGAAAACGGAAGGTGAGGGCAGGTGCGAATAGTTGAATGGGCTTGAGTAAGGGCTTCCCACGTGGGGTGTGTAGCAGAGTTCGCTGGGTCCAGACTTTTGTTAGTTATTATTTATGATGATCGTGCGGATCAGAGTGGATCATCAGTTGGCCGTCGGGGCGGGCTGGTCGGACTGCAAAAAGAACTGGCTAGTCTAGAAAAACGGCCGACAGGACCTTCCCTTCGCTGCAGGCTCGACGGTGCGCTTCGGAGGTGTCACTCCTCCACAGCGCTTCAGTCCACGGTCCTCGTCCCTCGAAGAAATCCAGGCGTCCTCGTCCCACGAAGAAATCCGGGCGTACTCATTAGCAACGCCTAGCCAGGCGTTTGGGGACCAACCCGTTCGTGGCTGTCTGCGGCCGAGGGCGACTGACTGTTCTTTGGGTCAGGAAGAGGACCTCGGATCGGCTGGCGAGTCACTCGGGGGGTGCGTTGAGCCGGTAGGCGAGTCACTCGAGGGTTGTCTTGGCAGTTCTGCGGTTGAGTTTCTGCAAGGTGGAACTCAGAGGGGGT